AGCTGGCGTGACTCCTGGGAGACCGCAGTTTCTGAGAAAATAAAAAGCAAGTGTAAACTGGATGGGTCACAAAGACTCCGCGGGGAGCTGGCTGCGGACACCCATGCAGTCCAGTCCTGTGGGCACACAGTTGGGTCTTACGGGAAAAAAAAAGGCTTAGGTTAAAACTGCAACAGCTATTCCAGGAAAGAATTTTTTAAACCCAGGGACACAAAGAGCGCGGCTTTGGAAACCTTCTAGCAGAGTGGAACATGAAGGCGAGCACAGCCCCGCCCAGGGTTGACTCGGGGAGGACCCAGGGACCCCGTGCTGGAGCCCGGTGGGAGCCAGGAACTGCCTTCTGTGGATTACAGCTGAAACTGGTTGCCATTCAGACTCTCTGACAAAAGGCCAGTGACTAAGGTCCCAGCTTCCACAGCTTCTCAGACCCTGTTCAGCAACAAGGTGCTGGCAAAACCCAGACGAGCCAGTCCCACTTCCAGGGATGCCCCTGACACATAAGTGTGGGAGCCATGCTTCCCGCGCCTATCAGAACCAGCGATTCGGAATCTCTCTTCCCACTGCAATAGCCCCACAAGAGCCCCCCTCATGCCACTCAGCCTGGCTGGGGCTGCTGGGCAGCCCCCGTGTTCCCTGGGCTCTGCCCTGCCTGCCTCAGCAGCCCCCGCTCCTGACTTCCATTCTTCCATGCAGGTTCTCCAGCAAAGGCCATGTGAGGGAGGAGGGGGGAAACCAGGAGAAACTCTGGAATCTAAAGGAAACAAGGAGGGTGTTTTCCCAAATGCTCCAGAGGATGTGTGTAACTGTTTTCAGCAGACAGAAGCTTTGTCAATACTGCGCTGAGTTCCTGCAGTATTCGGTGTCCTACCTCAGCAGTTATGCTTTCTCTCGTCTGTGTGAGCTGGTCTGGGAAGACAAGCACCCTTCCCAACTTAGTCTACACAAGAGAGTGCTTTGTTTTAAGAATTCAAAACAACAACAAAAAGACTTGTGAAAACAGCTTCGAAACACAATTCATCAGCACATTTTCTTTTCATGGCATTTATATATTAAAAACACGTGCATGCGGGTTCTGTAACATTAGAATAAGACTTACAAGGATGGAAACCTACGCATTTGCAGAGTGTCTGTTTTGCCCAGAAATGGACCGCGATAGCATTGTGGCATCGTGAGGCGGTGAGGTACTGCAGATAGCACAAGGGAGACCATTTGAATTCCAGAAGGCTGTGACTTACAAACACCAGCAAGAGACAGTCCCCAGGAAATCCAGGATTTATCACTGAATTCTCATGTATGAAAGTTCGTGGGATTTGTAATCACAGGAGCGACCTCCCAGGAAACCGTGAAAGCCGTTTTTCCACCGTCGTTTTGCACTTAATGGACTTTGCCTCCCATAATTCAGGAAAATGCCTTTTGTTGTGCACAGGAGGCTGAGTGCCGTTGAGAATGTGTGTGCGACAAAGGGCCTCCAGATTCGAGCCCTGCAGCCTGTCTCCCAGGCATTCCCCACTTCAAGAAGCGGCTCTAAGAACAGATTAATGACTGGGTGCCAAGGAGCAATGAGGTCCACCCATCTTGTCTAGGGGCTGAGCTAATCTCCTTAAACCTTTGTACAATAGTGGGGCCAATCACCCAAATGATGCTGTCAATGTGCTTTTAAAACCTCACTTCAAAGAGGGAGATCAAATGGGGGGTAATTGAAAGGGACAGCGATGTGAGGGGGTTCCTGAGACGCCCCCCCACGATGACTATGAATACAGCACGCACCACCCAGATGACAGGAGGGTGAGCGTGGAGGTGGCTGGACCCCAGAAGGGAGCTCCGCAGGAAGGACGAGGTCTGTTTGGCTGCCGCCGTTGCTTTTGCTGTTGGTAGGTTTTGAGGAAAAACTGACTGGCTGGGCTCCCTGTCTTCTCCTTCTCCTGCCGAAGGACCCTCTGTCCTGACAGTCCCAGTTCTGCATCTTGAGGTCCCTCTGACCTCCTGGCTGACCCTCCATGAAACCCAGGCTCACCCAGAACCTGAAGACACTCTGTTCATCCATTTGTGCTACTTAATAAAACAAATTCTGGGCCAGGCATTGTGGCTCACGCCTGTAATCCCTGCACTTTGGGAGGCCGAGGTGGGTGGATCACGAGGTCAAGAAAGCCTGGCCAACATGGTGAGACCCCGTCTCTACTAAAAGTACAAAAAATTAGCTGGATGCGGTGGCATACATCTGTAGTCCCAGCTACTGAGGAGGCTAAGGCAGGAGAATTGCTTGAACCCAGGAGGCGGAGACTGCAGTGAGCCAAGATCGCGCCACTGCACTCCAGCCTGCGCAACAGTGCGAGACTCCATCTAAAAAACAAAAACAAACAAAAAACAATGAATTCTGAACATCTCGGCAGCTACAGTCTCGGCGGCTCAGTGGGGTGGACTGGATCGCTGCTGCCAAGTTCTCAGCCTCCCTGCACTAGATGCGCCATCACGGACGGTGAGGTCCCTCCCACTTCAATGGAGGTCACCAGCCCATCCCTGCCATTGAGGTCGGGATTGCCTGTGCAACCTTCATGCGTCTACAGCCTTCATTTTTGGCACTGAAGGCCAGAGGAGGGCTGGTGCGGTTCTGCCTCAGGGGTGAGTCAGCTGGGCTCAGTTCAGGTGTGTTCCACGCTCGTCAGCCTCACGGCCAGGGGGCCACCTGAGACACACTGTCCCCTGACCGAACTCAGAGAGCAAGAGGAGTGAGGAGATGCGCTTGTGCCCTTATGTCAGCCTGTCCACATGCACAGCCATCCGTGGACACAACCAAGGCACAGTCCAATGACCCAGACACTAGTCCCAACGACGGATGAGGGCTTGGGGGCAGGAATCCAACCCTCCCCAAACCCTAGACTCTGTACAACTGAAGGGCAACTAAATACACAGGGAGACAGGCAGACTCACAGGTTATCAGGATAAAAGCCAGTGCACACCCCCAGCAACAGCAGAGGCCATGAGCCTTGGAAAGACCCGTTTTTTGTGGAGGCAGCAGCAGCTTGCAGAAGCTGAGCTTCCTGTGGCCCTGATTCTGCATTACTGAACTACTCATAGAACCACTGTTTTGAGCCTCAACACTTCTGTCCTGGTCCCACTGCCCGACTTTGTAACAACCCTGAAAAACCCACCGGGCCTGATGATCTTCTCCAAGATGCAGAGGTCCGTCCCAGGCACCGTGCTGGGCCAAGCCTGTGCCCAGCCTGCCCGTCAGACTTTGGAGTCCACAGTGTCAAAGTCCTCCTGCATTTGCGCCTGTGGCCTGATCCCTGGCATCATCTCACCCCCACACCACCCAACCCATGACTCCTGGACACAGAAAGAAATGTCTTCTCCATTAAAAACATAGGCGCCAACACCCGAGAGCAGCCAGAATCCACGGTCACACCAGAAACTGTTGCTTTCCAATTCTCCCCAGGAATTTTGACAATCAAGCACAGAAACCACCACAAAAGCAAATGCTGAGATTGAATTTTCTTTTCCTTTTCCCTTTTCTTTCCTTTTCTTTTCTCACCAATGCATCCGCTTGTTTGGACCAGCAGGTCCTAAGGACAGGCAGGAGATGAGTCACATCTGACTTCACAAAAGTGCTTTAGCCTTTTCACAATCTCCATTTAAAGCTAGCCAGGCCTTTTAGAATTGCCCATCTCCCACGAACGTTTGTAACGAGGCTAGGAAGGAAGTGTATGCTCAGGTCGGCAGCCCTGGCTCCCGGAGGCAGGCTCTCCCGTGCAGTGGCAGCTGCCAGCCCCAGGCTCAGGCTTCATAGTTTCTCATGCCTTCAACAAGTCCTCCCTGGAGGAGGGGCGGAGCGCAGAAGGCAGCACAAGTGGCACATTCTCCTTCTAATGAGCACAGCGCGCTAGCGTCTCTCGGAGGGGGCCCGGCTCTCCTCACGTTCCTCTGGGCCCAGGCTCCCTGCCAGCCTTTTCTCTTCCCCAGAGCATTCAATCGCTGTCAACAGAGCCAGACAAGAATAGAAACCGCTCAGAGACTCTCTTTTGTTTTGCTGGGACACTTCAGCACATTCTCATGGATCCTTCAAAGGAAGGCAATTATCTGATCATTCTTGGGAGCAATTAAAATGTGGAAGGATACATCCTGCTTTAACCCTCGGAGTCCGTCTTTCCAAATCACATGGGCCATCGATTACAACATCAAACCCCACATAACCCTCCAAGGAATGAGGTGTGCCCTGTGCAGTTGAAAACCAATAAGCCAAGGCACGAAGGTTTGTATGGATGATTGGCTTAGCTGGAATTGTGCCCCTCTAGAGGAGACTTTTTAAACGTATTCCTAGTTGCAAGTCCAGGAGCAAGGGAAGCAAGGCCCTCAGGGTTCTATCAGAGCCAGGGAAGGGGAGGAGAGCAGAGACGCTGGAGCAGAGGTGGAAGATTCGCAGACCCCTGGAAGTACGCAAAAGCTCGCTTTGAGCTGCTCCTTGATTCATGGGAGTCTCTCTAGTATAGATAACTCCCTTCCTAAAATGGGAGGAGCGCTGTTTGCACAGAGAGAAGCGGTAGTCCCAATACTGTACCTCTGTCCATCCCTCCAGAAAGCCCAAGGAAGGGAGCAGGTGGTTCACCTGCAAGTGATCTCCGGCTAGAGCAAAGAGATGGATGGTCAAAGCCCCCGCACCGTTTACAGACAGGTAACCATGTTACCTCTCTGTAAAGGCAACACAGGGAGCACGATCTGGCTGTTGTAGCAAGGGTTAAGTGAGATGGGACATGCCACACGGGTGATATGCGCCCAGCTCACAGCAGGCACCGTCATCAGTGGTCACCAGCCAATATACTAGTGAACCTGGGAGTGGCCCTTACCAGCGTGAAAGGCTGGGGTGTTTGTGATCAACACTCAAGGCACAACAGAAAGAAATCTAGGCTATTTGTTGAGACTCAGCGTGTTTGGTCAGGGAAAAATAGAATCCATCCTCATGCATCCTTTAAATCATACCTCAACAGAGGGTTAAAGTGTTGGTCTGGGGTGTGAGAATGATAGCTTTATTCATTCAGGAGTCTCTCAAAGAAGAGGATGGAGAGACAGACACTGTTCTGTGAAATGATCACTTTTCCCAGGCAATCCCACCAAGGAAGGCCAAAGGACCTCCCCCTGAAGCTTCCCCTTTGGAAATGGAGATCACAGCCACCTGCCAATATAACCATGATGGTTATTTTTAGGTGGAATGTCCCACCATTTCCTGTACCTCACTGTCACCCTCATTACGGCATTAGGATGGAATTACCTTGCTCTCTTCTGAAACATTAGCTTCTCCCTGGCGCCAGCGACAAATACGAGCAGCTTGTCTGAGGGAAAGGTCCCCTACTTAGGAGTTAAACTTCCCCCAATCACAGATCCCTTTGCTGAAACAATGAAAATTTTAGGTAAGTTCTGAATTGAACTGCTTCCCTCCCTTTGAAACAACTGGAAGTTTAGTCATAACAAATAAAAATGGCTCTGGTATCATGTGGTCACGACATAGCATGTTTATAAATTTTTATTTTTCACTTTACATCTCACTATATGGACACGCTACCTTCAATTCAACCCCAGGTTAAATCGAAACCTTCAATTCAACCCCAGGTTAAATCGAAACCTCTCGGCCCTTCACTTAAAGACAAATGCTGGGCAATTGTGAATAACAAACGGAGCCATTATTTGAAAGATTTCACATTCTGATGAACAGAAAGATTATTTTGGAAAATCTATAGCAGAGAGTAGTATAATTATAACTTAGACTTGCTCAATCCAAACTCATCTCCACACTGAACGTGGTTTTCTAACAATAACACCCCTCCAAAAAAGGGGCAGCCTACAAATGAACATGAGCGTAAGATGCATTTCCTGTCCAGCTAAAAATAAACCTGCAGACATTTGAAAGCAGCACAGAATCTTTTCTCACAGTGAAAACACACTCACCCATGTCGTTGGGCCAAGGCTTTGACGTCTTAAAAATCATTATGGTGAAAAATAAATGCAACCTATACCACGAGCTATCGTTAGAAATCCTTGAGAAAGATGCCTCGAGTGGCGAACTCTAACGTGCACTTGCTAAAAATGAAACCATTTCTCTTGGGCATTGTTAAAGGTCGAGTTGTTTTCTCCAAAAACGATGTTGAAGTCCTAACCCCCAGGACCTCAGAATGTCACCTCATTTGGAAATAGAGTTCTTGCGGGTGTGATTAATTAGAACGAGGTCGCATTGGAATGGGGGCCCCTCGTCCAGTACAACTGCTGTCCTTATAAAAAGAGGGAAACGCCGCGTGAAGCCCGAGTCACACTGGAACCCTGGTGTGCAGTCAAGGCGGGGGTCGCAGCCTGCAGGAGGGTCCGCGGGCACCGTCCGCCCCACCAGAAACCAGGAAGAGGCAGGACAGCCTCTACCCCCGAGCCTCAGAGAGAGCCTGGCCTTGACATCACCTTGATCGTAGAATTCCAGCCTCCGGAGCGATGAGACACAGATTCCTGTTGTTTTCAGCCAGGTGGTTTGTGGCACTTTGTTCAGCAGCCCTAGGAAGTGAACATGGGCACATATGCGAAACCAACACCACTGAGGATTTTGCTCTCTAGGTGGTAGATGTGAACCGGCCTTCCACATTTTTTTTTCTGGCTGCATGTTAGGCGCTCCCAGCTAAGGGGTGGGTGTGCAGGGAGTGGGGGGGGAGGCGCTCCCAGCTAAGGGGTGGGTGTGCAGGGAGTGGGGGGAGGCGCTTCCGCTTCTGTGGCTCCTCCAGGGTCTCTTCTCACCACATCTTCTGCCGCTCTGTGGATCCGCCGCCCCAGGCGCCGTAGCCCAGTGTGATGGGGTGTCCAGCACCGCGTCGCCGCCAGCCTTCTGGGCATTCCAGGTTCCCGACAGGATCCGGATGCAGTGTGTCTGACCCTCACTAACCAGGAGAGGGTGAGCTCTCCTACAAAAGACTGAGACATCTTCTCTGCCTTCTCATTTCCATGTCCACGATAAAATCAGCACAGTGGACACTAGAGCCACCCCTCCCTTCCTTCTCTTCCCCACCAACACACACTCCAGCAGTCCTGGCACCAGCGTGGGATCCACCCCGCGCACACCACATGCACCCCACCCCACCTCCAGTGAGAAGCACAGCAGTGAGAGGAATGGCTCTGTCCTCAACTTGGTCGGAGCCAACACCTACCCCTCCCCTCTGTTGTTACCTCAAAAGGCTTTCTTCGTTTGCTTGTTTCTACTTATCATTAACGTTGTTCAGGCTGGATAAGCTTAAGGCGCGTCCCTTAACATACTGGATCTATTTTTACTCTGTCATTTTATAATTAAACCGGGTCTGACTGCAGTTACCTCTGGCCCATGTATGCCTAATCCTACCAAGTCCCAGCCATGAAACAGGTGATATGCGTATAGATGAAAACAGTGGGTAAAAGGATGTTTCCAGAAGTATTAAGGCATACACACACACACACACACACACACACACACACACATTCTCCCCACTGAAGATCGTTTGGAACTGTGGATACAGGGAAGCACTGCGAGAGCCATGACAAAAAGACTGCAGTGAGAGATCTCCCACCAATCCTAATGCAGTTCCCTACAGAGCGTCAGTGTGCACTCCCTGGCCCACCTTCAGCGCCTGCACAGGACTGGGGTCCCTGAGTATTCTGTGCACTCCTCAGTCATGGTCTGTTACAATCACCCTCGTTGTTGCTGGCTTCTGACTGTCTCTCAACTGTGCACGATTCAGGATGCTGCAGCGAACAGCTGACATTAAGGACCTTAGGATGAAGGGACATTTTACCAGGATGGGGGCTGCGTATGGAACACTGGTAAAGTTTAGTCCACTAGTCCAGGGGTCACCAGACCACCTCAGGGCTTCAGGAAGTGGGGAGAAGTCTCGCCTGTGGCCCCAGAGGGCAGCCACATAGTTTTTGTTTGTTTTCTTTTGAGATGGAATTTCACTCTTGTTGCCCAGGCTGGAGTGCAATGGCATGATCTCAGCTCGCTGCAACCTCTGCCTCCTGGGTTGAAGCAATTCTCCTGCCTCAGCCTCTAGACTAGCTGGGGTTACAGGCATGCACCACCATGCCTGGCTAATTTTGTATTTTTAGTGGAGACAGGGCTTCTCTATGTTGGTCAGGCTGGTCTTGAACTCGCAACCTTGGGCTCCCAAAAGGTGATCCGCCCACGTTGGGTTCCCAAAGTGCTGGAATTACAGGCCTGAGCCACTGTGCCCGGCCGGCAGCCTCATAGTTTGGGAAGGTTTGGTGGTGACCAGAGCTGCACCTGCCAGCAGAAAAACCCAACAAACACCCCACAGTGCCCTAACGGGAGGACCCGAGTAAACACCTCCTCTGTCCTCCTCTTCCCGCTGTTGTCCCCCATCCAGCCTGTTAGCCAGACCCCACTGGACCCAGCCACAATGGTGTCTGCTTCTGCGGCACGGGCCGCCTCCCAGGGCACACAGCGGGCGGAGAAGCTGGTGCTGGGCTGCAGAGGATGCCTTTCTGAAAACTCCAGTTATCAGTGGATGGAGACGGCATTTAGAAAAATCAATGCCTATCAGGGAATCCCAGTCAGCATTTTCCTTTTCCTTTTGGAACTGAGCTTCTCAGGAAGAGTCTGTGGTTCCCCACGCTGAATCTTATTCAGTAAGCCACAGGACCCCAGGCAATCACAGAGGAATGCCTCTTTTTAAAGGAAGACATCAAAAAAAGGCAGCTGTGAATGCATCTCCTGGCTCATGGGGGCAGGCACAGGAAAAACCAGGAGAGGGCAGGTGAAGGAGCCACCCCTCCAGGCCTCGCTGACCAGAGCCGCAGCAGAGAGCACTGAAGGCTGAGCCCCTGACAGAGGCAGGCTGTTAATTACACAGACAGGAGCAGAGAGGGGTGGGGCCTAGGGACCCCTCCCACCCCCACCGCCCTGCCAGTTGCTCGGTGCCATCATTTATCGGGGCCCACAGGCACTGCCGTCTTCATGGCCTCATTCACATCGCTGAGCTGCCTCTCAAACACGGCTGTTCTCCACGGCCCACTCAGTGGATTTCACCCTCTCATCCATCAGTTTGATTTTCAAAAGCTGCTTCCTTTGTCCAGAGGAAAAAAGAAAATGAGTGTGTAGGCTCATCTCTAAGGAGAGTGGCAGAGATGTGACTTGCGAGTCCACAGGAGGCTTCGGGAACTGAGGCAGAGGCTCACCATCCCCTGGGGAGCTCAGCTGGACAGGACCCAGAGCTCCGCAAAGGCTGGGCTGGCGTCAGGACGCCTGGAGCCAGGGAGGCCGGGAAGGGGAAGGGGCCTGCCCCCGGGTGGGGCTGCCTGTTTCTCAGAACCGCAGTGTTGGTTGCTAATGATGACGCTTCACAACGCCCCCTTAGAAACCCTCGCATGTAAAACGGTTCCATATCATCCTGGCCCAGGAAGGAGAGAGCTGCATTCAAAAGGAGAAGGCAGGGCAAGGGAGGGAGACCCCATGGGCGCCGCTTCTTTTCTGTCTTGTCCTAAAGCTCATACACAGAATTCCTTTTTCACGAAATACTGGGGTTGTAGACACACGCCCTCACCTGTGATGGAAATTCTGGCAATGTCACATAGAGCTGGTCTCTTCAGCAGTGCTGTGATGAATGGCGCGCTGCTGTTTCAACATTTCCCAAGCCCGCTCCGTTTCTTCTTCCTTGTAGTTTTAAAAGAACAGCTTCAATAACCTGGTAGTAAAGGAGAGGGGAGGCTGGAAAAAAACTTAGCCCAGGAAAAAATGTTAAATACTGGGGGAAAAAAACTCTCGGGAATTAGAATTTCATTTCATGTCTAGAAAGTCAAGTAAAATGCCAATAACATTGTGAAAGTTCAGAATTACTGACCCTGTTTCTCTCTTAGGAATGTGTGAGCAATGTTTAACATTATGGTAAGGACATTATGGCAGATAAGAATATCATGTAAGGATATGACGGCAGATGACAAGAACAACACCTTACTTCTGTGCCTATATTCACATCCCTTTGCCATGTGACCGTGCCACCCCTGTCCCCGCCTCAAGAGGTGGAGTTCACAGCACGGAGCCCTGGATCTGAGCTTGGCCATGGGCTCTCCTTTGGCCAAGGAAGCATCAGCCAATGTGACATCAGCAGAGGCTAAGAAAGCGCATTTGTACAAGGCGTCTCTGCTGCTGCCCTTGGGAGCTCCGTGACTGTGCAGCACGACAGGAACAGGCTGCCCTGCAGGGTGATGAGCAGCTCCTGCCTCTGGCCCCTCAGCCAGCACCGGACATAAGTGAGGCAACTGACCATCCGCTGACTTAGGCGCCTGAATGAGCCAGCACCACAGCGAGCCATCCTGTGGGGCCCAGCTCAAATGACCTGCCCACATCCACACAACTGTCGGCAGATAAAACGGTTTGAGCCCTGTTTGGGTTGGTTTGTGGTTCAACCAAGGCTAACTGATACAGATATTCAGACATTTATTCTCATGTCTGATGCGGTGATCAAGTCCCATACAATGGTCAGTCACTCAAAACAAAGTCAGGCAGGGAGCCTGAAGCACCAGGAGCAGAACTCAGCTCCTATTCCCTGGATGGCCGGGGTGCAGGGACACAGGATGTCTCACAAGTTGTCATTTCCATTTGGGAGATCGATTGGAATGCGTCTTACTTTGAAAATGAGGTTCAATGTGATTGAAAAACTGGTTATTTGAAATTGCCTAATTTTTTGTTTTTTATTTATAATTCTTAAAATTTTCTTATACTTTTATTATAAAAGTGTAATTCTTATACTTTTTTGTTAATTTTTTAAACTGATAAGAACAGATATTACACTTGATCTTCGCAGAGAAGCAATGATTTTTAATTTTTTAAAGTAATAAGCGTTTTTCATATAATTGTGTTCAATTAAACAGAACTGTCCCATTTGGAACGGACAGGGTGAAACTGACTGCAAAAGTGGAACCAGGAATCTATCATTACATAACTAAAGTAAAATAAAGCACAAAGTATTAACAAGTGGGCTGTGTTTGGTGTTCACACTTCCCATGTTCCTGCATAAATACCTGAGACACGGAGCAGCAAGCTGGAAATCTCAGCATCCTCAGAGAGGCTTTCCTTAACATAACTCATGCAGAACAGCTGGGGAAATTAAAAGGTCATGCAGCTGTTACTGTCCTTGTGTCACAAATCTTAAGTTACAAAGCTGGACATTCAGAGGATCATGATTTGTAAGTCAGGGCTCAGGTAGTGGTCATTAAAAGGGACTGTTGCTGGGCTGTGTTTCCATTATGCCACCCAAAGCTCCTGGAATACTACCTGATAAGGATGACTTCAACAACAGAACCTATTAGGGTGCTAATGATGCCTAGTGGCCTATTTAGGAAGCTATTTTGTAGTGACGAAGGTTGGCCTCCCTGGAACATTGTGTCATATGAGCCACAGGGATCACACTGCAAGGAGAGCATGAGTTTCCTTCTATTTATAACCAGTTTGCTACCAATGGCAACATGATGGGAAATGAACAATCACATCTGCCGGGAAATCACAGGGCTCATTTTGATTCTTCTTTAACCCACAGACCCTCGTGGAGTTAGAGAGGGCGTGGGGGAAGGACCCTGTGGGGGAGTCACACTGCCCAGGTGCCCACATTCAAACTCTTGTCACATTCCATCCTAAGAATGTTACATGGGTCACCTAATTTATCCACAACCCTGCAGTTTTACAAGTGATGAAACTCAGCTCAGAGTAAGTAAATATCCAAATTCATTTCAAATTCAAACACAGGCAGTCCAGTTTCAAAGCCCATACATTTCTGTTGAATACACTGAAGCAGACGTCTAAGAGCTCCATGTGAACTCAACAGAGAATGTGGACGAAGAGTGTTCACTTTCCTGCACTCAGTGCAGGCCCCACTGTGCAAAGTGATCGTTCCTATCCCTTATCACCAGCTTGGGCAGGCCCCTGAGCTTTCGGATGCCCTTTACGGACAAGGGAAAGTCCAGTCCTGTCTAGATAAAGCTATCCTCTTAGGCCATCCAACACCCCCAGACCCCAGGCCCTGCTCATTCTTGGGCTGGGTGCCCATTCTTGTTGCAAGGAACCTCAGATTCAGCACCCTGGGGTCCAGCATCCATGAACTTGGATCAGGGATACAGCACATGTTCACTTTCACCAACCTTCTGCAAGGTAGCATTTCTTTCAATTATGACTAAAGGCCACAAACCACTATTAGCAGCATCTGAGACTTTGTCACCAACAGAAAAAGTAGACATAATGCTATAATAATTTCAGGTATTATGAAATATTATTTATGCTCAGCAGTATTCTAAAAGGTATCCCCTTCTAGATGGTATTAATGTATCAATAAAGAAATATGTACATTACTATAACAATAATTTTTTTTGTATTTTGACAAGTGCATTTTAATATAGTCATTTCTTCTTCTTTCTTTCTTATAATACTATGTATTTTGGCACATGCCTTTTTAAAATAATCATTTTTTTCTAAAAGATTTCCATGGGCTCTATTGAATTGCCACAGCACATAGAACAAACAAATAAACAAGAACTCTGGGCTGGAGGGACAGGAAGCAGGCAGAGCCTTTCTCTGCATCTTTCTCCTTTCTCCTCCTCTGATCCTGCTCCTCCCAGCTGGGGACCAGGCAGTGCAAGGGAGAGGGGACCAGCCTCTCACAACTGAGCTGTGGAAGGACAGGCCCTCCCCAAACTGCCCTGGGCCTTCTGTGGTCCCCAGTCTGCAGATGAGTTTTCCAGAGGCCCTTCACCTCTTGAACTCCTCTCTCCATTCCAGCTTCAGTCCCTGCCCCCTGGGAACCCCCAAATATCTGAGACAAGTCTCTGTCAATTTAGGAATCTTATTTTGCCAAGGGAAGGATGCACGCCTGTGACATAGCCTCAGGAGGTAGCTGGGGAGGCATAAGACATCAATCAATATACTATACGGAAGATGCACATTGGTTCCATCCAGAAAGGAGGGACAACTTGAAGCAGGGAGGGGGCTTCCAGGTCACAGGTGGGTGAGAGACACATGGTTGCACTCTGTTGAGTTTCTGATTAGCCTTTCCAAAACGGGAGGCAGGTCTGCCCTAAGCAGTTCCTAGCTCGACTTTTCCCTTTAGCTTAATGATTTTAGGGCCCCAATATTAATGTTCCTTTCACACCCCAGAGCATGCCTCACAGCTCTCAGAGCTGGCCCCTTTCCCCAGAGAAGACTCTCAAGCCAAGCTCCCACAGGCCCCCAGACAAAGCTCACAGCCCTGGGCCCCCCAAAGCTGTGGGTGTGCCCTGCTCTTCCAGCTCTGCACTGATCCCTCAGATGGGTGCGGGGGACCCGACCAGAATCCCAGCCAGGTCTAGAGATGCCATGCTTCCCCTCTTAGAAGACACCCACAAAGTCTAAGCTATTCCCATGGTCCTGGGGCGTGGGGGCCGAAAACTTGGCAAGAAAGATGTCCCCTCCCAGAGGGGAAGGCACAGGACCCCTGTAGACCGGTGTCTCCTGCCTTCTCCCCAACTCTCCTCTCCTCACTTCTTCCAGAAATGGGTGTGGGCTGGAGAGGGCTGGGGTGGCTGACAGAGCAGGGCGCTTTGAGCAGAACGGAAACCCTGCCCCCAACTGCTGGCAGCTCTCTTCGGAATGTGAGGCACTGTGGCCTCTTTGTCTTCGGCTGCGGCTCTAATAAGGAGGTCGGACAACAGGGGAAGTCTCAGCCAATGTGTCCTGTTACCCCAGCAAAACTGAGAAGCCATCCTCACAGGACTCCTATGTTTCTGAGGGCAATCCCCTCACCACGTTCACAACCTCAGCTCCTTACGTGTCCCTCCTCCTCTATGCAACAAGGTGAGGTTCCCAATCCTTCCCATACTTGATCAATGTGTGGCAGTAGCTGTTAGCAGTGACAGGGTGGAAGGCACAGGGCGCTAGAGGTCAGATTTCTTTAAGTGCCAAGGAGGGCTTCCTCCTTTACGAAGAAACCCCCAATGCCAGTAAGGATGCATACAGTACCACGGATGCCCATTTGAATTCCTTAAAAAAGTGTGTTCCCACTGTATTTTTACTGTTATAATTCATATTTGAGAACTCTGGTGAAAGGCTTCATTTAGCATGTTTGGAATAATTCTCCGTCCACTTTGTTTCCAACACAGTTTTCTGTTAAAAAAAAAAAAAAAAAAAAATGCATGGGCCTGTCCATAGACCCTAATTAGCACCTAGGAACCTGCCCCAGTGCCGTCTTGGTAAACACTGAATTAAAAAGGCCGATGCTGCTGGAAATTGCACCCAAGCCATCCTGCAGCGGTGGAGCGTCACAGTCAGGGCCCTGGTGCCACCTGCAGCCTGTCCTGGGAACGCGCCGCAGATCACAGGCCGTCCGCCCACGTGCGAATTCACGCTGTTGCATGGGCGTGTCTAGAGAAGCCTGCTTCGAAACCAGTCTGCAGGGTGTTCTCAGTTGCGTCGGATAAATGAATATCCCTTAAGGCGGAGCGCCTAGGTACAGGTGGGGCGGCACTCGCCCCAGGCAGCAAGTCTTGGGGAAACGTGAAACAAGCAAGAACTGCCCCCAGGGAACCTGGAGATAAAACACGAAACCGAATTTACGAAGTCATCTGCTGCTCCATTTCCAACTGGAAGTCTAAAAAAGGCATTTCCTGGCGCTGGCGAGTGACTCAGTGTCACCGTGACTCAGCCGCGCCCGGTTGCCCACGAGCGGGCGGGGGAGGCAGATGCTGCGGGCGGCGCCGGGGGCCGGGCCTGCGCGCGGCTATTTCGGGCGAGTCTGCGGCGAGCAGGGCCCGCGGTCCACGCGCACTCAGGAAGTACAGACAGGGCGCAGCAGAGGAAGCGCGCCCCACGCAGAGCTATGGGAAAGTGATTCAGAGCCGCTAGAATCCCCCATCCCGCGCCCTTCGCGGCGCAGCGAGGTGGGGAGGGAGGGGCCTCCAGCAGGTGCGCGGGGCAGGCGGGCAGGCAGCGCGTGCGCCCAGGGACCTGGGTGGCCCTGTGACCGCCTCCCGCGCGCACGCGGCGGGCCAGGGCGCACCCGGAAGCCCGCTATGCAAAGACAAGGCTTGTCCCAGCCTAAAGCAAACTCATCCACGCAGTCGCTGGCGAGTTCCGCTTCCCTGTTTCTGGGAATCTGTGACTGGCAACAAATGTCCAGGTGACCATTGCGCTGAACTGCACGGAGAAAAGGGCTGAGGACCAGGGAAGGAGCTGGTATGACCGCCTGTGAGTTCACAGGGTGCCACGTGCGCGGCTGGAGGGACCCCAGCCTCACCAGATCTCCTCTCTCCAGAAGCCCCTCCCTCTCCATCCCTCCGGAGGCCGGGGCCATGTGTCCACCCACGTGGAGGTGTAAGGACAGCCAGAGGGAGAGGTTCCCGTGTGAACCCACTGGCGAAAAGTCTTGCAGTAAAAGTCATTTTGAAACATTCTGTGCAGAGCTCGCTGTGCTGGGTGACCAGGTGA